CTGAGTAAACATCGTGAATGATGTAAATTTAATTATAGAGTAAAAAAAGGATTGTTTTATCGTTACTTCTAAACAATGACGACAGCGGCAAGAAAGTCGCCTGATGCATGATGGCTCAGATCGATGAAGTCGATAAATTGCGCCAACGAAGCGAGCACTCAACTCGTTATCCAAGATACAAATGCGCCGCTACTTATCGCCTTATCCCATAAGTAAATTTTCAACGGCGGTGCTCGCACTTACTTCGTGCGAAGTAACTCGCATTCTTGTCGCGTGTCGTTAGCCTTGTCTATTATTCAGTTACTTCGTATTTTCGAGAGAAGCGAAATTTGCAGGAGTTATACGTTTAAGAGACATCCGCATCGTCAATTCACTTCGATGAAGAATAGCAGATTTATAACTCCCATTGTTATAAAAGTCATATATGTATAAAAAAATCTAATTGAAAATAAACTTTTTGAGAAAAACGCGTTTAAAATTAATATGAATTAATACATATAAAACGAATTAGATTGGATGCACTCAGTGCGCATTGGTGCACATTAAAGCCGTTATACACAAAATAAAAGATAAGAAGATATGTTTACATACATAGAAATTAATTAAATCCTGAAATATTCAATATATTTTATTGTATTATTAGGTAAAATATGTATTTTATAATTCGAAATATTTGCATTTTATTTTTATCAAAGTAAATCAGTGTACAATGGCTTTAATAGCTTCCATTAAATTTATCATTCGTAACGTTTCAGTAAGAATCATTAAAAAAAAATTAATTATGATATATATATTTCATGTATTAGTTTTGTGCTTATTTTTTAATAAATTTGACACAAACTTAATTTCTTTTTTATTTTTTTATGAGAAAAATATATAAAATTTTTTTTTCTTAAAATTCTATTTCTTAAAATTTCTATTTCAATTATAAATGTAGTCTCGTATTTTGACCAATTTTGATGACAAATAGATGCTTTATAAAACTATCAAAGTCTAAAATCTTAAAAGTCTCGTCATAAAACGCATTTCTTCGAAATGTGTTACTTATTTATTAATTAATTTTTATTCTTGAATCTTGCTCTATCTATATTTAAAATCTGCAAAAAATTTCTAAAGAAAGATATATGAATAATTTGTTACATCTTAATTCATTATACATATATAACTCTGCCTTTTTTATCTATAGTAATTTCCTCGTAAATGGAAATGTAACATGAATTGTGGTGCTTTCGTGAGTATTTTCGAGAAATTCGATTCCTATTCCCATTGAATTTCTTCCTTTCGTCAAATGACGCTTCGTGTTGGCGTACTCGTTCGTGAGACGAGCGCGAGATAAGCAGAAAAACAATTCTCGCAAACCGGATGCTCCGACGAACTTTTCCAGCTACATCCTCTTCGTTCTCTATCGAGCCACCGATGCAATTGCCGACTCTCAATTTCCGGTTCCAAGTAGCGGCCGTCGACGCAAAGCGGGTGCGATCGCCTTTCAAGTGTCTGAGAAGCACTTAAAGCTGTGACTTGAAGCCGGTAGGAAGCGATAAGGAATAGTGATAGGCAACTTTCCGGGGTTCTCAGGTATCGTTACTCGCGTCTTTACTCGAGACTCGAGAACAGCTTTTTTCTGATATACGAGAAGTATGGATAGTTAAGAGTTAGCTATATTTGATTATAAGTCGTATCTTGTTGATATTCTTTTTTTATGTCAATTATAATGTTGATAAAGACTATGGCACACAAAAAAAAACATAAAGCAATAAAAGACGTAAGCAGTAAGCGAATCGATCGATTATAATAGAGATATAATTACACTAGCGCTATTGTGATTTATGATTTTTGTTAACTGCACTATTGCGAAATTGCTAATATGATTAATAACGAAAGCAATAGCAAATCTAAAATATAATTAAAAACAATAATACACAAAAAAATTTAAAAATAGGTCATAAGTAAATCAACATTTTTCGCTACTGCCTGCTATTATTTTACATTTTCTATTATGATTGATCAAATCATTTATTGCTTACGTTTTTTCTGTTATTAACTTAACACTCAAAAATTTTATTTACTCTGTCTGTCTCTCTTTTGCTCTCGAGTTTAGTATTTGATATGAAATTAAGAATCCGGAACAAAGATGTATTAAATAAATTCTTAAATAAGCGTGTTTTATGATATTTTAATCAGGTTGGTCAGAAAGTCTTTTTCGTATTTTTGCAAAAAGGTTTACGCAAAAATATGAAAAGACTTTCTGACCAATCTAATAAAATAGATGAGTTAAAAGAAGAGCTTTTGGATTATAGATTTAATTCAATTTCTCTACTCTTATCCTTTAAATCTTTTAAACATAGGATATGCTATCGTTAATGAATAAAGGAAATTGATCGACGATCTTCATTTTTTAGGATTGGAAGTCATAATAGCAGGTAGATTTCTCGTGGTTGCTGTAATGTTTTGCATCAAAAAATCATAAATCTGTGCTGTAAACTTGAGTCGATAAAGTTTATTGCGTGAAGATAAAAAAACGCAGTAGACTGATATCGCATAGTCAATCCGGTTGTATTTCGCCACACCACAAGTGTATTTACTTCCATCGCGTACAAAAAAGCAACAAAAATGATTCTTGAGAAATACTTTGCGAATTTTTCTTCTGAAGGCATTTCGTCTTGGGTTATAACGTCGCCTGCTTCCGTTATTTAACATTTTTTTCGTTTCTCTCTCTCATTTTTTTTCTGCTCTGCTTGCATCTCCAGATTAAATATTCACGAGAGGAGAAATGGAGATTCTTCCAACGCTGAGACGAATTTATTCCATAAATTTTTCTTGGTGAGCTATGGAGGTGTTACTGAACAAATATAATTTGAAGAAAACTCTAATTAAAGAAACATATAGCTGAAAGTTAAAGAAAAAGAAAAAAGTAAATCACGTTTGTTTTGTTCATCATATACTGATTTGAAAGTAAAAATTGCTCGAATCAATTGCGATTTTTAAATGTGTCAAAAATTATAAATCTAATTTTTCTGTGATAAAATAAGACTCTCTTTGTTAATTATTTGCCCCATTTAATTAAATATCCCGACAATAATCCCTGCTAAGGACAAGAAATTGTCAAATTGAGGCGTTAAGGAATAAATCTATCCCTCGGGAGTAATATTTGCATTTCTTAGTAGACTAGCTCATCAGAACAGTTAAAGGATAAATTAATTCTATGTGCTAACTACAAGTTTTTTCGATATACAGTCCGTCACGTCTGTCTCGTGCGAGCGGAATTCGCGTGATGAAAATCGATCGACGATCTATACCTATTGCGAATTCACTCGCAGGCTCTCGCAGCGGAACGTACGTGCGAAATAATTTCTGTCCATCCTTACTTGAAAATTAGCACAATGAAATACTCGCAATTAAAACAGTTTCATGATTTTAACATTTATTACCGCGGTTTTCACTCTCGTTAATTCCTTCGGTAAATATCACTCATTATTTTGCAATTATGCATTTGTGATGTTTCCTCTCCTTAAATGTGATTATATTTCAATCGCGATCATACAAATTTGAATATCAATTTCTTTTTCTTGTATTGTTTAATTTTTTCTTTCTTTTTTTCGAAAATATTCCGCATCCATTACATTTGTAGTCATCGCAATATATTGATGATTGCGATATGAAGTTCATCATTATTTCGAAGTTGTTGTACGGTTTCGTAAATTCTTTGCAGTGAACGACTTCATTAAGAATTTATTATTCGTTGGATCTAGTTTACAAAAATTCTCACTATTTTCTGCGGCACCAAAAATCCGTATTTTATACAGACAAGTAAACATGTTCAAAAGATCATCGTTACAAAATGAAGCTAATAATTGGTGGATACTTTTGTACTATTTTCGCCCATATACTCACAATACAGCTGATGTAATAAAGCGAGAAATACTGATTGATTCTGCGGATGGGAGTTCAAAGAAACAAACGAGACATAAAAAATTACTGTCCAAGCTCCGGAAAGAAGAGTTCGGACAATCAATGTTTTCATTCTCATATTATTTTAACGATCAGAGAATTTAGAGAAATAGCGAGTTTCATTACTGCGAAATTCTTGATCAGCAAAAGGAGTTTAATAACTAGAGGGAGGATACAAAGAGGTAAATATATGAGAAAGAGAGAGAGAGAGAGAGAGAGAGAGAGAGAGAGAGAGAGAGAGAGGGGGGGGGGAGGAGAGGAGGGAGGGAGAGGAAACAGTTAGAAGGTTTAATATGTACGACATCCTCGGGGCGTTATAATTGCTGAGTATCGATCATCCAGTGCTACATGACATACTCCGCTTCGAGGAACTTCCGTTTGACCAATCAGGGCCTGCTGAAGGATCATAGCCACGTACTTGTCGTTCCTGATCGTTCTGTAACTCCGCCTCGTATATGACCACTCTACATCACTCTGCAGCGATGCAGAAATCAGAATAATCCGCATCCGAAACACGTAGGAATTTTCGAAATTTAGTCTCACGATCAGTTGCTGCATGAAATCGTTCGAAGAACCACATTGCGAGATATTTCGCACATTTATAATGCAATTGTACTATCGTTCATTTCCTTTCTCGTTATAGATGCGGACACGTGAGTGTTATATTTCATTCTTCGTCGAAAAAATTTCGAATTGTACGGCGTGTCTTTTTTCCGCCCCCCCCCCTTTTTTTTGTAGCGCGTGGCTACAGAGCACCTTGGGGAATCTCGCAAAACAATATTGATAGATGAAACGTTCGCCCTGATTCTCACTCGATATCTGGTGGAGATTTATTGGTCGTATGTGTGTGAGCGACACGTGAACGCGTGTATCATTTCACCGCGGATAAAATATTCGCCGCTCCGGTGGCGCGTAGTGCGAGAAAAGAGCCGCAAATTGCACAACGACATTTATCAATACTCGTCGCTTTCCGCCGTTATATATTACTGGCGCTCAATGCCATTTTATCGGTCGTTTCACGTCGATCTAACGATTTTTTTCATTTGTTTCAGAAATACGTCAGCGAAGGATCGATAGTGCGAGACTGCGTGAACAAGTGCGTGGAAAAAGGTGAATGCGACATGATTCTCGTTCATTATCGCAGATTCTGAGCCGCGTTCAGAAATTTCATCCAGGTGCACTCAGCAAAAAAATATATTATTGTTAAGAAAAGTGATTGTGTACAATTTACTTTTTTCCTTTTAAATAACAGTTGTCTTTAATAAAGAATATAGAAATCTTAAAATACATTTATTACAAATACATTTATTACAAATTGGAGAAGCATTTATTATGTACAAAACAAAAATTAATTTTCTTTTAAAGAATATTAAAATTAATATTATATCAAATTGACCGAAGAAACGACTTTATATAACAGCAAATCGAATTTGTTTTAATTTAATAATCTCAGTTTAAAATTAATAAAAAAAAATATTAAATTTATTAGGATTTAAAACATATTTTGAATAAATTTGATGCTTGTGATGAACTTACGATAGATTTACGAATATATGGACTTGAAACAAATAATTATTGCAGCATACAGTATTTTTCTGCAGGTGTATTTTACTCTGTTGTTCACTATTAAACAAGAAGATAAGATAATACCTAGGTGCACTCGGATAAAATTTCTGAACGCAGCCTATAGTCATAAAAAAAAATAAACGTTACAATCCATTTTTACGAAGCTGTTTTGCATGTTTTTCACACGGTACTAAATCTATGCGTCCGCTCGTAAATTCTTTGGCGGCATTCTGTAATCGCTCGATGAAATTTACCGTGGATAAAACGACGGATCTTAAAAAATTTGTGAAATGGCGCGAGGTGTTATCGGTTGCTTTTGAGCCAAGGTTTGTTATCTGAAAGGCGGTACTGTTGAACAGTGATATCCAGAAGTGGCGCCGGATAGAACATCTCTCTTTCTCTCTCTCTCTCTCTCTCTCTCTCTCTCTCTCTTTCTCTCTCTCTTTCTCTCTCTTTCTTTTTCTCTTTCTTTTAAACAAGAATCGACCGAGCCACGTCATCGATTTTGGATGTAGTGGCGTATGGCCCGCATCGTATCGTGCACTCTATCTGTTTGCTCTATCCGCCACTTGAGAGAGAATATGAGAAGATCTGCCAAAAGGATAGAGAATCACGCGCTTTTAAAGGTCCCACGGAACAGCAAGTGGCCGTGTTATCGGGCCGCGTCGTTTTATTGTTCTCCTGTGGATGAAGGCCTCATACTTTTCCTTTCCTTGCTCGTATTTCTTCGCCACTCGTCCTTCGACATTGCCTCTCTATATCTCCTCTCGCCTCTTTTCTTGTTATATCGCGAAACGGAAGTGCCACGATTAATCTTTGTCTGATAGCATGCTTCACTTTTCTTTCTCTTTTCCTCTTTTCTCTTTTTATTTGCCATTATTAAACTAGAGAAAATTCGAAGTCCATGATTCTCTTAAGGATTATTATTGTTCTTTGAGAGTTATCGTCCGTTATATGTATGTAATAAGTTACGAAAATAAACACATTATTAAAAATGTGGATGTGTTCATTAGAAGGTTTATGTGATAACAAAATTGACAAATCCCTTTCTCTTCTTTAAAAAAAATTCTAGATTCATCTTTATTAAGAGCTACCTCTAGAATTCTATCTTTAAATTAAGACAAAAGGATTATTTTTCTTTCAATAATCACAAAATAAATATTGAATAATACAAAGTAAATATTGAAATAAAAATGTCGATAAGAGATTTGAATGTCAAGGATATATTTAGTAATCAGATTAAGTTGCTGAACGATAAATCGGCTGTTTCAGAGGCCTGGAGCACGAGGACGTACTGTTGCCAGCAAGATGGCTGCAATTCTGGCCCATCGTTGACAGCGTCGAGCAGCACGTACTTCGTCCTAGCAATCTCGTTGGCAGTCTTCGTGATGTGCCGAAGCCTTCGTGGCTAATACGTGTCGTCCTGTAAGACGATGGAACTGCGCTGCGGACGTCACACGCCACCCTTCATAAAACTTGAATCACAAAAACTTGTACTTAGAGAGGGAAGTGGGAAGGGAATGTTGCAACTTGCATCTCAGACATCTGTGCCGAACGATCGAGGCTTTCTACATGCGAATCTATACGGAGACGTCGATAGTCGTCCTTTGGTCCTGTCAGAAAGTCCAATAAAATTTTATGTCATCGTTTATAATTGAACATATCTTTCTTTTTGCGAAGATTAATGTGTGCTTTCTATTATTTGATATCGATTATTCTGAATATGCTTAATCAAAATAAAGTTGACACTCGTGATAATCAGCGAACATTGCAATGCATAATGTCTCTTGAAAACCAATTCTTTGGACTTTTATCAGTTGCAGATCATTAGCTATGGAAATTAGCATTGATGTGTTATTCCTATTGTCAACCTGACAAAGGATTGATTTATTACTGAAATAGTATTTCTTACTTAAAAGTTGACATCACATAAAGTACATTTATTGTTCGTATAATATTGTAGATATATTTACTATTTACAAAGCCGATCTTTAAGATGCTCGTTGTACATTTTTCAAATAGTTCGTTTTTTAAAATATTATTTTTTTATTGGAACTATAATATTGAAAGATAAATCCAACATTGAGAATAATTATTCTGTTTCCAAAGAATCCAATTTATTGAGGAAAATCTTACGGACGGTGATTAAGAAAATATAACAAATTTATAAGTAATGCATATGTAATAAATGCTATTGTACAATTATTCCCAAGCATTTACTCTCTGATTAAATGTCACGTCTAACCGATTCATACTGTCGCCTTCCATTTCGCGTGACGGTATTCACGTCGTACAATCACAGCCGACTCAATTCAGTGAACGTTGAATGCACTTGCTAAACTCGAGCCGAGTTAAGTGACGCAGAGAAATCGGCTCGTTAAATTTGATGCGTTATCACGCCAATTTCTCCTTCTTCACTCTATTAAATTCGCACGCTTCCGCATGCTTTTACGGATCTATTGCCCTCGACAGTAAAGTTCTCTTGATCGAATTTGAGTGAAAGTTCGTTTGGCAAGTCTCGTTTAAAATCGAGAACTCGTATGGCAGATGAAGTGATATCTCGCATAAAACTATCGTTATCAACGAACTCGTTATAATTTTTTTATTGTCCCGATATAGAAACAAGACAATCGCATTGTGGAATTTTGTTTAAAAAATATCTAATCCAAAATATAATGCAATGTCTCGAAGCTTCGGAAATACATGCTTCGCACGCGATTTCTTGCCAATGATGAAATAGTCGGGGTGGTAACGACGATATTTAACACGCGATTCGAGAATGACAAAGAGCTCGAAAATATCGCCATTATCATCATTGTACCGCGCTTATCCATTTTCACAGTAGCTTTCGTGCAATTCGACTTTACAGACGCACATTTGAGCGAGACGTACGTCTCGTGTATGATGCGTGATCAGCTTTTTTTCCCTACTATTTATCAGACTGCATTTTTTACGGTGTAGTTTTTTTAACTATCACGAACTAATCGGTCTACGACACTGTAAAAAGTAATGTGTTTTATTGTTATTCCCATGTTTTAAACACTTAAAGAAGTTTTAGACTTATTCAATTCAATTTAGACAAAACACTATGTGTTTGGATTTAAAATACTATGCGTTTTAAATCCAAGTATGTAGTGTTTTGAAAAAGTTTAAAATTAAAACATCTTTAAGTGTTTAAAAACACTTTAATACTTTAAATAAAACATTTTAATTACTTAAAATTAAACACTTCCTTTTTCAGTGGATGGAACTTTGCTTGAAAAAATAGACTCTTAGATGAGAGAATAATGATATCATATTGGATTTACCTTTGGGAGAGAATATCACGACTTTAATTTTAAAAAATATATCAAGAAAAAGCAAGATTTAAAAAATATTTTCTTTGTAAAAAAAAATCTTCTGATAGAAAAAATTCAAATGAAAGAACAGATACTATACATCGTTTCCTATATCATGATTTTTTCTTCTCCGAAATCTCTGGGTCAACTCCCTGTTGAGGAACAGCATTCTGTCGGCCTTCAACGGCGGATTGAATTTATTCAAAAAGTTTCGGCGTCCCATTTTTCGTCGGACATTTTATCGACGCTTCTTCTGTCGCTTCTTCCGTCCGCCCACTAGCCTCGTACATGCGAGTTTAATAACATCGGGATGGGTTGTGAGCCGAAAAAGCAACGGCTAAAGAATACAGGCGTCGATATATCAATATTTCGTACGAACGTCGCGCGATGTGTTTGAATTTCATAAATATTTCGACGTATCTTGCGCTCTCTTTTCATTATTATTATTTTTCGAAGTCGCACGAGAGAATACCTGCCTCGTAATTGTTATTAAACCATTAAATTATTAAATCATTAAAATTCTTCGCGATTTTATGTGAAATTATCAATGAAAATATATAAAGTCGGCCCAAAAAAAAGATTTTAGCAATAAATTTAAATAATTTACAATGCTTGAAACGCTTTTAAATAGACATAAAGTTATCTTAAAAGAAGGATTAATCACATTTATATTGAAAAATCTCTAAAAAGTATTATAACTCACTTGATTTATAATAAATTTTTAAAAAGTATCTTGAATATTTGAAAAATGAAAGTAAAAATGGTGTAGCAAGAAGAATCAGGACAAATAATGTTACCCGTGCGCTTTAATGAGTTATTGATGCCCAAAAAAGGTGTCAGGATGCCAATATTCATTTAGGAACATTGCTTTTTCCTAGGCAATTTTTTTTAAAACTGTTAAACCTTATGATCTTTTTTGATGTTATAGCGATGAAGCTTCCTCTAATAGAAAGAAAAATTCACTGATTCATGATGATAAAAAATGTTTGATATTTCGCGATCTCGGTTTTTATCCTTTTATTTTAGCAAAGCCGATTATCGTTTAAAATAAACTTTATTATATCAGAAAGACGAAACACGTATTAAGAAATTCAAAAATTCGTCGGTTCTGCGAGGATATTTTGTCATTTCATGCACATAAAAGATATTTCCCGAAAGGAAATAAGGAAGCGACATTAGTTTCGAGACATACAAAATAAATTATTAGTTTTGATAAATTAGGAATAGGATGTGTTACCTACAGAGAAAATGCATTAAGCTCTTTTAATAAAACGAGCATCTATCAGAAGTTAATTCCTTTTCCTTGTACATTTTTGGGTTTGTGACACTTTAAAAGAGTTAGATGATTTTTGCATACCTAGCGGACATTAAATGCATCTTTCCACAAAAGTTGTTCAGAAGTCATTTTCGTTCACATTTTCTTATGACGAGATTAATACGGAGAAGTATATAGTATGTAATTAAGATATTTCAATCACAATTTCAACCTGATCGAGTCAACGTTTATGATACTTACTTTAAAAAAGTTAATTTTTGCATATACTTAACGGATATTAAACGCAACTTTCCAATAACAATTGTTCACAAGTCAGTTTCGTCCATTGTCTTACAACGAGTTCGGGAGAGTTACATACGCAATTGAAGTATTCCAATCACAATCTGATCGAGTCAATTGGCAACAAGGGGACACAGTATCCTGACATATCCTATTTCTTTGGGACGACTTGACTCGGATGTTTTAGATTCGTGAAAGAAAGCGCCGACAGTTCGATAGCTCGAGTAGAAGAAACGACATGGCGACGTTCTCCGCGCGAAAATCGATATCGATATATTGGACCATAATTGTTGTCAACGACATCGACGTTACTAAAGATCGAACACTTAAGGAAGCTGATGCAGCAATGGAGCCGGTGGCAGCGCGAACAAAAATGGTTGCTTCTGTCGCTCGGCAAGCACTTCCTAGCCGTAAAACACAAAGAAAGAGAAAAAAGAAAAGAAGAGGATCGAACAAATAACGTGGATAACCTACATACAGATAACGTTTAACAGAGGAACAGTGAGGATAACAATAATGATGTTATTATTACTACTATTACTACTATTATTATTATACTATTGCTACTAATTATCATTACTATTATGAACTACATGCATCACACCGAGTACACATATAGTAGTTATGACCGATTAGGCGAATGCGAGCAAGCGGAGTTGTCGATTATTATGTAACTGCTTTAAAGTAGCCTTATAAATTGTAATTAAAGCGCGGATAATCTATTACACCGGGTGGCGCGAAGGAACGCGACACTATCCTTGACGTAGCCAGATTTTCATATTGGTGAAAGTTTATATATATGATTAATTCAATATTAGAAAATCGCTTGTAATTTTTAGTCAAGTATTGAATTAATCCCGTTTTTCTTAATTCGTATCTTTCGTATCATCGAAATTGACGATATTCGAAACATTACTAACGAAGATCAATCCTTCCGATTCGGAAACGAAGAAGGAAATCTCGTTCTGTTCCTCTTGTGTCACTCGGTACATACATCAACGTAATGGATCATGAACAGGTAGGCAAGAAACTAAAAAAAATTCCTAACAAAGTAGCAAGATTCATCTTAGCGGATAAGCAGGGAGGGCGATCACGAGTAGCAGATAATCTGTTGTTTGTTCACAGGAAGAAGGGTTTAGCGATCGATCCTGGCAACACGAACATCCGAAAGACATCATATTTTAAAGATTAAAGCTGCTACCCCGTGACAGTCGAAATTTTGGAAAATGGAATCTCGGAAAAGTAACACGATCAATAAGAATCATTTAAGTTTAACGCATTCATGTAACGCGCTAATCTGAGCTTAGTTGTAATGTCTTTTTTGAGATTCCGTTTTCCGACTGTCATGAGACAGCATCTTAACAGACAGAGACAGCAGCACAGAATATTTAAAATACAATCCGCATAGCGAGTAACGAATAGTCATTGTTCATCGCGCAAACGAATATTACATATTTTTATTCGCGTATATACACATATAACGAATAATGAATAATCTGATTCGCTATTCGAATAACGAGACTGCATCTCTCAGTTCTCGTCCTTCAAGATATCTTCTGGACATTCGCGTTGCATACGGAGTCGAAATATCTGTTCTCGCAATTTAGAGGCAGACGATTTATCTAAAGTTAGATTACAAGAGTCTCTAGGATAACCGTTAAAGCTAATCTATTTCCCGTCTCGAATGTCGGCCGATTTAAACGTCGATTGTTATTGTTAGAGGTGTGCATTAAGGTAGCCATCGGCGGCTGCGGTTTGAGATTAATCGTTGACGAAGCGCCGGCCTGCATCGATTTAGTATAATTAGCGTAGAATCGATAATCGGCCTTCTCGCCGACGATTAATACTCCGATCGCGAAATCGC